CTAGTACTTAGTATTCAATTGTTGATCTGGCAAATGTCTTTTTTCTTGATATCTATTAGTTAAGACCACCAGAAAAAGTTTAATTTCAGCTGACAAAGCCACTGATATACCTTTACTGTCCTACCTTAAGAGTATATCAATTCCCCAGCCCTATATCACAGTTTAGTTCTAACGTACCTTGAGTGACCAAGATATCACACTGGCCATTATATTCTGATTGGACTTCATAAGCAAGAAGTGGTGACTATTCTAGACTTATTGGTAAAACATTTGTGTCAAAGAATCTGACAAAAACAAAAATTTAGAAGCTTTTTGCTTCAGTGACATGGAACACAAATATCTTGAAGGGTTTTTTGCCCATGAAAGGATCTATTCACACACCTCTTCCCTTAGTTTCCTTGCCATGTTTCTTTCAAGATTTTTTTTTTCAGTGCTGGAAATTGAACAACCCATGTCCTTGTGATGCTAGGCAAGTGCTCTACCATTGCACCATATCCCAATTCCCCTTCCAAGTATATGTGCTACTTCCAGGTATAGTAGTACATGCCTATAATCCAGCTACTTGGGAGGCTGAGAAAGGAGGATCAAAAGTTCAGGATCAGCCTCAGCAATTTATCAAGGCCCTATGCAACTTAGCAAGACCCTGTCTCAAAATAAAAACTTAAAAGAATTGGGAATGTAGCTCAGTAGTAAAGCACTCATGGATTCAATCCCCAGTACCAGTAAAGAAAGAAAAGAAAATTGCTGGACCTGCCTCTAGACCTTAGTAGAGACTGAACACTTAAACATGGGCCACCAAATTAACATGGATATAAGCTGAAATGGGTGTTACCTGACCCACCAAACCATAAAATTTGACATACGTAGCAGAACTGCATCATCAAATAGAATTGGTATACATGTGACTGGGCCCATGTGGTTCTGAAGGAACAATTAAGTTACATGAGGAAATGAACCAAACACCTATAGTCCCCACTCTGGCTACACTGCCTTCTCTCTCATAGTTTGTATCTGTGGTTTTATGAGAACTTTCCTATGATCAATAAGTTGACAGGGGCTGGGGGTGTGGCTCAAGCAGTAGCGTGCTCGCCTGGCATGCGCCGGGCGCTGGGTTCAATCCTCAGCACCACGTAAAATAAAATAAAGATGTTGTGTCCACCGAAAACTCAAAAATAAATATTAAAAAAAATAAGTTGACAGAAGAAGAGAAGACTCAGACCTGGCTCTGCATGAATGCAGACACCTTCCAAGAGGGGCAACTGCAACACTATAGTTTCTTTCTGTGACATTGCTGAAGGTCAATGGTGAATTAAAATATTCCCAATGGGCATAACTTTAAGTATGTACTTTGTTGTTCATTTTGCTTAGAAGGAAAAACACCAGATAAGCAATTAAATACTGATTCATGGGCTATGGCCAATGGTTTGACTGTATAGTCAGGAACCTGGAAGGGGAATTGGGATATGGTGCAATGGTAGAGCACTTGCCTAGCATCACAAGGACATGGGTTGTTCAATTTCCAGCACTGAAAAAAAAAAAATCTTGAAAGAAACATGACAAGGAAACGTAGGGAAAACGTGTGTGAATAGATCCTTTCATGGGCAAAAAACCCTTCAAGATATTTGTGTTTCATGTCATGTGAATACTCAACAAGGGGTGACTGAAATATAGGAGGATTTAAATAAAAAAGTAGGTAGGATGACTTGTTCTTTGGATACCAGTCATCCTCTTTCCCCAGCCACCCCGGTAAATGCCCAATGCACAAAGTGGCCATGGTGACAGGGGTGAATTTTATGCATGGCCTTAGCAACATGGATTTCCACTCACTAAATCTGCAGTCACTGCTGAGTGCCAGTCTGACAGCATCAGAAACCAATACTGAGTCTTTGGTATGGCACTAGTTCTCAAGTTAATCAGCCACCTACCTGGTGGCAGGTTGATTACATTGGACTGCTTCCATCATGAGAAAGTGCAATGTTTTTCTTATTTGATTAGGTATTTACTCTGGAACAAAGATATGCCTTCCTTGTGTAGGTAGGATGATTCTGCTGAAACTATCATCTATGGACTTAATGTTTTATCCATCATCATATTCCAAACAGCATGGTTCCAATTAGGGAACTCATTTCAAAGCAAACAAAATGTGGCGATGTACTCCTGCTCATGGAATTCACTGGTCTCATCATGTTCCCCTTCATCTTGAAGTAACTAACTTGATAGCATGGTGGATTAGTTTGAAGACACAGATACAGCATCAACTAGACGACCATAATTTACAGTACTGGGGCAATGTTCCCCAAGGGACTCTGTGTATTTTGAATAAGCCTCCAATATATGGTACTATTTCTCCCATAGCCAAGATTTGACAGGTTCAGGAATCAAGAGGAAAAAAATGAAAGTGGCACCACTTGCTATTACACCTTGTGACCCACTAACAAATTTTTTGCTTCCTTTATGGGATATGGTGCAATGGTAGAGCACTTTATGCTTTGCTGGTCTTACTTCCAAAGGGAAGAATGCTTCTGCCAGAAGACAAAATGATTCCAGGTTGCTACCCAGTCACTTAGGATTCCTCATGCCTCTGAATCAATAGGCAAAAAAGGGAGTTACTGTGCTGGCTGCTGATTGATCCTGACTACCAAAAGGAAGTCAAACTGCCACTCCACAATGGAGATAAGGAAGAATATGTCTGTCTGAAACACAGAGCTGCTTAGGTTAATTCTTAGTACTACCATGCCTGTGATTAAGGTCAATGAAAAACTACAACTCAATCCAGGCCGGACTACAACAGTTTAGATACTTCATCAATGAAAGTTTGGCTCACTTTACCAGGTAAAGAACCACGACCAGTGAGTAACATTCTTGCTAAAGGCAAAGAAAATACAGAATGGGCAGTGGAAGAATATAGTTATAAATACCAGCTTTGGAGCCAGGCACATTGTACCAGCCATGCATACCTGTAATCTCAGCTACTCAAGAGGTTGAGGTAGGAGGATTGCAAATTTAAGGCCATCCTCAGGAATTTAGTGAGATTCAGTCTCAAAATAAAAAGGCCTGAGATATAGCTCAGTGGTAAAACACCCCTGGGTATTATTCTACCTCATGTAACACAGGATGTTATAGTTTAGATATAAAATGTCCCCCAAAGACTCATGTGTGAGACAATGCAAGAACATTCAGATGTGAAATGATTAGACTATGAGAGTTGTAACCTAATGAGTGCATTAATCCACTAATAGGAATTAACTTGGTGGTAACTGTAGGTAGATAGGGTATGGCTGGAGAAAGTAGGTCACTGGGGACATGCCTTTGGTCCCTAGTGAGCCAAGGCCCTCTCTCTGCTTCCTGATTGCCATGTCCTGTGCTGCTTTTGTCCTCCACACTCTTCCACCATGATATTAGATTTCACTTTGGTCCCAGAGCCATAAAGTCAGCCATCTATGGACTGAGACTTCTGAAACAGTCTCTTGGTCAGAGAAACAAAAAAGTTGACTAAAATACTCAGGATATATTGACTCTATATCATAGTACTTGACTAGTTTTAATTTTTCATCATAGAAGTTATGAAATATCAAAGAGAAAGAGTAAACATCATTCAAGGATTTTTGTCTCCTGGGGAAAAGGTTAGTGCATTTTCAGCCATACACAGAATGCCATATTAGGTAGAATTATGACCTTGTCATTGTCTATTTGGATAATAAGTATGGTTCAAGGAGATAAATATGGGTGCCAAGTTGACAAGAGGTGAACTTGTTTTTTTTTTCTTTTTGGTACCAGGGATTGAACCCAGGAGCACTCAACCACTGAGCCACATCCCCAGCCCTATTTTGTATTTTATTTAGAGACAGGGTCTCAATGATTTGCTTAGGGCCTCACTAAATTGCTGAGGCTGGCCTTGAAACTGCAATTCTCCTGCCTTAGACTCCCATGCGCTACCACACCCAGCAAGAAGTGAACTTGTTTAGTTTTTCTTTCTACTATGAGTGTACATGATTTTTTTATTTCCTTAACTTGCAGTTCTGAGGATTGAACACAGGGCCTTATGCATGCTAGGTAAGGACCTTTCCACTGAGCTTCATCCCAGCCCCAAGAAGTTAACTTTTAATGATTAAGTTTAGGTGTCAGTTTGACTGGGTTCTGGGGAATATATATATTTAGACAAATATTATTTTGGATATATCTGGGAAGGCATTTCTAGATGAGAATAACATTTAATTTAGGAGACTGGGTAAGGCATATTGTTTTTCTCTTCCTCAACCCAGTGTGAGGTGTTTCATCCAATCTGTTAAAAGCATGAATAAAATAAAAATTTGAGTAAGGGAAAATTTACTCTCTTTACCCTGTTCAAAATGGGAAATCTTGAATACATAATAATGGTACTGGGGATTGAACCCAGGGGCACTTTACCACAGAGCTACATCCCCAGTCCTTTTTATTTATTTATTTATTTGTTTGTTTGTTTTGTTTTGTTTTGAGATAGGGTCTCACTAATATGCTCTGGCTGCCTTTGAACTTGGGATTCTCCTGCCTCAACCTCCCAAATTGCTGGGATAACAGGCATGCACCACCCTGTCTGGCTATTGGTTCTGTTTCTCTGGAGAACCCAGAACAATACAGAAGCGTAAGCATGGTCTTTAAAGAGATAAAACTATTAGAAAAATTAATTACTTTGTTACTTCTTAAAAACAGACCATTTATTTAAATTTTTTTTCTTTAAAAAAGGAAACTTGCAATAAGAGTGTCAGACTGACTTGCCTCCTGTGCTCAATAGCTCACTAAAATAATAATGAAGGGTGAGACATAGAAGGTACAAGTATCTAGGGATAAAGTGAATGAAAAGGATATTCCAGCAGATTAAACACTCCAACACATTTTAGGAAAGTGGAGAGGTAATGGTAGCCTATGGTGACAGAGTAGAGGGGAGGCACCTGAATGAGAAGCCAAGACTCAGGGCTGGACTCTCAGCCTGTTCCCAAAACAAGACAAATACCCAAACTCACCACCACCAGGCAGATGATTGATGCTAGCTTCTCTGGAGAAAACAGATGTGAGAAACCCTGGGCTCAAGGACATGAGGCAGAACAAGGAACGGGAAGACTTGTGGAGCTGAAAATGGGCATATACCTTATACATAATCCCTAAACAATAAACCCTCCAAATACTGACATTTGGAAGTTTCTCAACCAGAAGGAGAACTCCCAGTCTAAATATCTTTAGAGAAACTCACCTGTCAATAAGCCCTACTTACAACACATCTGTTTGCTCAATTTTGAAATGCTCTGATTTCACATGAAAGGACATTCATTATAATAAAAGTAATAAAACAAATGGAGTAAAGGAAAATGCTGGGAACAAAAGAAGAGGAATTTTAAAATAAATACAAAAAGAGCCCCTCCCCAAGCCCCATTAATTTTCTTGGAAAGCTAAAATGCTATGAAGGAAGAAATGAGCATAAAGAAGGGTTCTTGGGAATGAAAACATTAGACAGAAAATGGAGAGTGAATGTAATATTAAGGAATTGTGGTCTTATGTGAGTAGTAGTGTCATTGGAGGAGGGTCAGAGAAGGGGACCTCTACTCAGGATGAGTGGGGTTCTTGACAAATGTTGCAGAAAAGAATTTAAGGACACATTGAATAGAGGTACACACAGGGATTTATCTAGGAAAACAGATTATGCAGTCAAAGGGAAAGAGAGTACGGGCCATGTTGAGAATAAGAAGCAGTGCTTTGGTCTGGGGTTCTAATATTTATAGAAGGACAGTAGCTTGGGAGTTCAACTAGTGGTAGAATCCAGATGGAATTACACAATTTCTCACCAGTTTTCCTTGCTTGCTCATTGCCCTTGCATCATGCTACTTTCTGTGGGTGAGGACATGGGCACAAGGACTTGGACTGGATTGCTCACCAATTTCTTGTTTAGCATTCCAATAGTTCATAAGCAGATTCTGTATTCCAAAGGTTCATGGGTACTTTTTTTGGAGGGTAGGGGTACTGGGGATTGAATTCAGGGGCACCCGACCACTGAGCCACATCCCCAGCCCTATTTTGTATCTTATTTAGAGACAGGGTCTCACTGAGTTGCTTAGCATCTTGCCATTTCTAAGGCTGGCTTTGAACTTGCAATCCTCCTGCCTCAGCCTCCGGAGTAGCTGGGTTTATAGACACCTGGGTTTATAGGCCACCGTGCCCGGAGGGTGCTTCTCTTTTGAGACTCAATATATTTTTTCTCTATATCCCCAAATTCCTATCTCAGTATTTTTATAACTGACACAAATACCAAATTCTAATGGGAATAGAGTAATGGGTAGCTAGGCAGGCATTGTGATACACTCTGATACTCTCAGATATTCAAGAGGCTGAGGCAGGAGGATCACAAGCTCAACACCAGCCTGGTCAACTTAGCAAAACCCGTCTTAAAAATAAACTAGCAAGGACTAGAGACAGCTCAGTGATAGAGTACTTTCCTAGCATGTACAAGGCCTGGGTAATCTTGGGTGTTTAATACTATGAAGATTATATTGCTCAAACTAAGTCTGATGCAAGTTAGGTGGCCTTCTCTATTTTATAGCTATGTCATATAGAACACATGGCCTTTGTAAGGTCACTGTAAGAAGGGAGGAGAGAAATTCGGTAGTTACACTGGCCCTTTATTACTTTGACAAGGAAATAATACACTTCATTTTGGACTTACAGCTATGAGAACTGAGAAATAAATGTCTGTTATAAATTACCCAGTTTCAGCCAAGCATGGTGGCACACGCCTGTAATCCCAGAGACTAGGAAGACTGAGGCAGGAGGATCGCAGGTTTAAAGTCAGCCTTAGCAATTCAGCGAGACCCTAAGCAATTTAGCAAGACCCTGTCTCTACAGACAATATGAAAAAATGCCTGGGATGTGGCTCAGTGGGTAAGAGCCCCTAGGTTCAATCCCAAGTACCAATAAATAAATAAATAGCCCAGTTTCAGATATTTTGTTATAGCAGCGCAAATACACTAAGGAAGAAAAGAAGGGTGAGCCTGTGGTCCAGGCCACATTAGAGGCAAAGGCAGGAGTATCTCTTGGGTCCAGGAATTCAAGACTAGACTGGGAAACATAAGGAGACCCCCCATCTTAAAAAAAAAAAAAAGTGAGAGAAGAGTGATTTCATCAATACATTTTTTTTTAAAGAGACAGTGAGAGACAGAGAGAGAGAGAGAATTTTTTTTTTTAATATTTATTTTTTAGTTTTCAGCGGACACAACATCTTTGTTTGTATGTGGTGCTGAGGATCGAACCCGGGCCGCAAGCATGCCATGCGAGCGCGCTACCGCTTGAGCCACATCCCCAGCCCCATTTTGTTTTTTTCTATACCAGAATTTCCAGTTATTTTATAATTCTCTTTCTCTCTCTTTCTGTACTGGGAATTGAACCCAGGAGTTTTCTACCTCTGAGCAACATCTCTCCAAACCTTTTTATTTTTATTTATTTATTTTTTTTATTTTGAGGCAAGATCTCACTAAATTGCCCAGGTTGGCATCGAACTTGGATCCTCCAGCCTCGACCTCCTGAGTAGCCGGGTTCCACCCCTGTCCAGCACGGGAGACTGAACTAAAGTTCACTTGTGTGAATTTGGAGTGACGCAAAATACCACACAGACACAAAATACCTTTTATATGAGCTTCAGGATGGCTTCCCCATTTCCTGGCCTCAAGCTCCCCAAAGGGGGGAAAGAGAAGGTCACCAGAGGCTGACAAGAGAGAGAACAAGCACTTGGGAAGTAGGCTTTTATTTGGAGGTGGGCACTGTTTCTTAGCACATTCTAGGGTAACATCTACACCTGGAGCCACACCTTGTTATCTGAGCTGGGATAACGTCCAAGTTGCTCCCCACAGCTGGGATTATAGGCAAGTGCCAACACAACCAATCTGGCCAGCAATTTTTTAATGAATTAGAATAGGATCAAAATTATCCAAGAACACATTCATAGTATGGGAGTATCTAGTACATATTTGTGTGAGTAGTATATATATTAGTTGTGTATTATATGAATATGTATGTGTACTAAGTACCAATGTGTTTTTTTAAATATATTTTTAAAATGTTGATGGACTTTTATTTTATTCATTTATTTATATGCAGTGCTGAGAATCGAACCCAGTGTCTCACACATACTAGGTGAGTGCTCTACCACTGAGCCACAACCCCAGCACCCCCTATGTATTTTTTTAAACAAATCTTTTTTTTTTTTTTAGTTATACATGGACACAAATTCTTTATTTTTTTAGTTTATTTTTTATGTGGTGCCAAGGATTGAACCCAGTGCCTCACATGTGCAAGGCAAGCAAGCACTCTGCCACTGAGCCACAACCCTAGCTGCCCCACCATGTGTTTTTTTACAGTAGATCCCAGTTAATGTTTTTTTTTTTTTTTTTAAGTTGGAAGTCATGGTCCAGAGAAACTCCTATTGTTTCTTAAAGGAGAATATCCACTGCACCAATGTTTGAACGAAGAAATAGACATAAATAAATAAATAATCCAAGTATTTCTCAATATGAGCATGGCAAATTAATTGTAGTATAATCATACAATGGACTCTTACATCCCAGTTAGAATGAATGGATTAGGACTATCTGTAACAACAACATTAATACATCTCATTAAAGATGTCAAGCACAAAAACAAATTGCAAATGATACATTCACTGCATTAACATAAAGTTTGAAAGCATGCAAAATTATACTGCATATTGTTTCTGGATATGCACAGTATTTAAAGTATAAAATAGTATAAAATAGGAAAGACATTGATAAATAATAAAGTTATGGTCAGGAAGTGTATTATTTAGCTCAGTGATATAGTACTGTACCAAGCTACCTATGTGCAAGGACCTGGGTTCAATCCCTAGCACCAAAAAACCCTTGACAATAAATACCAGAGTTAGCCAAGTGGCAAGTGACTAAGGCCTTCAGACTCAGATTTTTTTTTTAATTTTATATATATATATATATATATATATATATATATATATAAATGTATGTAGTGTGTGTGTGTATACACACACACACACACAACATACATATATATGATTTCCAGATAATTCTTTTTTTTTTTTAAGGTTTAGAAGTCATAGTTCTTAGAGGAAACACTCCCCTGCTTAAAGGAAAATATCCATGAGCCAGATGTCCTAGCACACACTGGCTACTCAGGAAGCTGAAGTAGAAGGATTGCAAGCTTGAGGTGAGACCCTCAAGAACCCAGTGAGATCCTGCCTCAAAATAAAAATAAAAGGACTAAGGATGTAGCTCAGTGGTAAAACACCCCTGGGTCCAATCCCTAGTACGAAAAAAAGAAAAAAAATAATATTACTGCAGCAATATTCATAAGGAGGACATAAGAGGGTGTGTGTGTGTGTGTGTGTGTGTGTGTGTGTATCCATTCCATTGGTTCTGAGAAAGGAAGTGCCATTGTAAAAAGATAAGACAGGTTCTTCAACGGTGTATGTGATGTTTGTTTTTTAATCTAGGTAGGTTATAATATGATCTACAGTATTGTTTACTTTTCTGTGTAAGTGAAATGTTGCATATTTTTTAAAAGTTGGGGGCTGGCAGTGGAGCGCAGTAGTAGAGTGCTTGTGTGAGGCCCTGGGTTCAATGGTTCAATCTCCAGTACTATAAATTTAAACACACACACACAGAGAGCCCCCAAAAAAGGAGTAGGGGAGAATTTGACAGTACTAGGTTTCAATTCTATCTCTGCCGTCTGCTGGAAAGGAACTTAACAAGTTCCTTAATTTCTCCAAGCCTCTGTGTCTGCAAAAAGATACCATAATAATAAATATCCTGTTGTGTTTTATGAAGTACGAAATGCTACAGAAGTATAAACCGTCAGGGGCTGGAGTTGTAGCTCGGCAGTTGAGCGCTTGCCTCATATGTGTGAGGCACTGAGTTCGATTCCTAGCACCACATATAAATAAGCAAATAAAATAAAGGTCCATGAAGGAGAAGGAGAAGGAGAAACCGTCATCGCAGAAGAATGCTTTACAAAGTCCTTGTTAACAAGAAACTCTTAGTGTTCCATTGTTACAGACTCTCATAGAACCTTGACACTTTCCTCCAGAGTGCTTGCCTTCACGTATAGTCACACATTCACTAATGCCACTATTTGTGCACTCCATGGCTTTGTAGTCGTTATTATATTTCCAAATCCGGCCCAGTCCTGGGCACACACTAAAGCACTCAATACATGGTGGAGAGGAGATAGGGTTACACGTAGGAAATGAGAATAGGAAGCAGCGTGGGAAGAGAGGACTTATATTTTGTTTCATGTTTCTATTCTGTTTGATCTTTTATCACGAACATGCATTGCTTGAAAAGTGAGAAAACTAGTTGAATTGTTAATTAAAGTAGTAAGTGTTAAACAGGCATATCTTAATTTCATCGCCTTTCGGAAAAGGGAGAAGGTCATGTTTTACTATAGGAAACTATGTGGGGTGGGGATGTAGCTCAGTGGTAGAGTGTTTGCTTAGCATGGGGGATACTCTGGGTCCGATTCCTAGAACTTCCAAAAAGGAAACTGAATGGGAGAGAGGTCCGTGGGATACATTTTTTTAAATATTTAAAAAAAAAAAAAAAGGCAGGAGTGATCCTGGGCCTGATCCTGAGCCCAGTGGCTCTCCCCAGACCTCTGGGACGACAGGGCGAAATGCCTAACAGTTCCGGAATTGAAGAAGGGCCCGGGAGGTACCGTTAGGAGGCGCTCGCGAAGCTGCATCAGGAATTCCCGCCTCTCCGTTACATGCCCCAGTAACCCCAGCGCGCCGGCGACCGAGAGTAACCTCGCGGTCTGGTGACGCCCCCCCCCCCCGCCCCAACTCTCGCCTGCTTCTATCTCAGCCAATGGGAAGGCAGCGAACGAGCCGGCCGGACACTGGCCCGCGCCGACTCCTCCCCCGAGCACTTAGGACTGAGTTGAACAGTCACCATGCCGCGCGTTTTAGACTTTTCCAATAGCAGCCCAGAGTTCCGACTCCAGGTCCCGCCCGTCCCGGGTCTGCCCGGTTTTCACTCTCGGTAGGAGTCACCTTTGCCTTACAAGCGTTCAGACCCGCCTTCTTCCTACCTTGTTCGCTAGGCCCCGCCCTCTGCTCGTTTCAACCAATAATCGGGTGGGCCTGGTGACTCTGGGCGGGCCCGCAGCCAATGCGCACGCCGTGGGCGGGCCCCCGGCCGGAATTGGGGGTGAAGCTACAGCATTTTTGCACACATTCGGGGCGCGCGGAACTGGGGGGTCCCTGGTGGGCTCCCGCAGTTAAGATGGCGTCCGCAGTGGAGGGGGACGTGGGAAAGGTGGTGGAGCCGATTTGGGGTCTATGGTCAGGTTTTGAGGAGCTGAGCCTTAACAAGTTGGCGACGTCCCTGGGCGCGTCGGAACAGGCGCTGCGGCTCATCATTTCCATCTTCCTGGGTAAGGACCCTCCTGCCTCCCTCCGCCCCCTCGCGGAGTCCCCGGGGAATTGTGAAGGAATGGGGACAGGACCTCCCTCTTTTCCTGAAGCCACCCAGGAGGGCTCTGTTTGGTGCGGGTGTGAATCCTAAAACACACCAACCATTTACTGAGGGGAAGACAGAAGTCAGGTCTCGAATCTGGGGGCACTGTGCCCTTTGAACCTATTCACCTTTCTTTTCGACCCCTGCTCTGCCCTCTGGCCCCTTATTCTGTGCCCCCACCTCCTCAAGCCATGCTCTGCTATACCCCCACGAACTGTTTTTATTATGTTGCTCTCTTGAGTTTCACTCTCAGGCCATGTGTATTGCTAATCTCTTATTAGTAGCCCCCACACATGCGTGCTTCTGTCGGTAGGCATATGCTCCCTAACTCGGGTATTTTAGTCCTTCAGGCCTCCTCAGCCCCATATACCATACTTCCATATTCTGAATCTATTTTGTGCATTGCCAGCTTATATTACACTTTCATCTTTTTTGTGTCCCATTTCTAATATTTTCTTATACCATATTGCCCCTCCCCTTTGCTACCCACCTGTCATTTATCCTGGAATATCATTTTAATGTTGAGCTTGGGAAAAAGGACTAACAACCTCCTTAAAAACTATCCATGCTGTTCCAAATGTTTATTACCCGTATGGTTCAAAGGATGTGATGTGTCTGAATTTATGTCACAACAAGCTGTATTATAACTGGTTTATAGGCGCATATATATAGAGAGAGAGGGGGGCGCAGCATAGTACAATGAAATAGTATGTGGACTTTGAAGGCAAAAGAATTGGACCCAGTCTTGCTGCTTGATCACAAATGATGGGACCCCAGACAAGCCACTTAACCTCTCTGGGCCTGATTATCTATGAAATGAGAACAACAGCACCTACATAGGATTACTGTAAAGTCCTGTAGGAATTTAAACGTCAAGATCATAGATGACTGATAGATAATTTGAGTAGTGGAAGTTCTTTTGAAGGTTATATAAAACTTTAGCTAGGAGATTATAGAACTTCAGCTGAGGGAGTGGTAGGAAGAATGAAGTGAAAGCTAAAAGGATGATAAATAAACAGGAATGGGGCAAGAACAGAATATTACAGATCTGAACCCTAAGAAGTTTGAGACAAGGTTGGACAGATGTGGAAGGGCTTAACTGCCAGAATGAAATTTGGAATTTTTCCAGTAGTCAGTAGAGATGTTGACATTTAATATCACCAAAGGGTGTTAACCCAATCTAGATAATGGAAGAGGCATCAATTCATATTTAAACAACCTTAGCTAATATCATTGTTATTTGCCTATTAACCTATAGAACCAAGATGATTTTCCTTTCTTCCAAATAAAGGTCACTTTTTCCCTCCCTTGTAGAATTGTAAGGTTTCAGAAGTAGAAGAGATCTCAGGTTGTAAAATTTGCTCAGTGTCACCCAGGCATAACCCAATTTTATCAGCACCCGGATCTAAAGGCTTCTTTGTACCACATTAGCTTTGAACTTTCTACTCTTTGAACCTTGCTTCTGACCCAGTTATTTGTTGGAATTGGAATTGGCAATTAAGAGTGTTTACATCCATTGCTTAGGAAGCTCACTGTTGATTTCTCAACTATAAATTATTAAATTATGGAAACATAACACAAGTAGTGACAAATTGTAAGGGGCAACCTGTTAAATGGAGCAGGGCTGGAATTAGGACTTGGAATTTGTTGTTTGTGTGCTGAATAATCAAATACTGTCTGTGCACTCTTGGGCATTACTTTATGTACTGCTATGTCTTGGGCATACAGCTGATTAGGAAATAGCTCCATGTGCTACCCCTCTTTTTCATCATTCCTTGGTGTAATACTCCCAAGCCCCCTTGCCCGTATTACCATTTCCCTTTTTATCTAAAATATAATATTGCTTTCAGTACTAGTAATTAATTGTATTTCTCATTTTAGATCAACTTGGGCTTAATGTTGCCTCATGTTAGTTATAGTTTTGTTTTCAGCTCTGGGTATTGAACCTGGGGCCTTGCATAAACTGAGCAACTAGTTAACACTGAGCTATACTCCAGCCCAGTTAAAGCTCTTTTAGGTAGATATGTATGATTGTATTTGCAGACATAGGTTAAGTACATATAAATATAAATTGATAGACATGTGCATGGAAGAAGGAGTGTATTTGGTTTTAAATATATATCTCTTACAAAGATTTTACCGCTCTGTGTATGTAATCTAGAAATATTAGTGTTTTAGCAGTGAGTTCCTGGTTCCTGAACCCAGCTCTCTCAGGGAACTGGAATCCTGGAGGAATTTTTTTTTTTTAATTTGGAACTGAGGATTGATCCCAAGGGCACTTTACCAGTAAGCCACATCCCTAGCCCTTTTTTTTAATTCTTATTTTTTAAAAATTTTGAGCTTCTGAATCACTGGGATTACAGGTGGATGCCACTGTGCTGGGCTGAAAGAAATCTTGGTAGAGGTAGCAAGAAGGCCTGTTGTCCAAAATGATTTCTTATTTGCTTACTCCTGATTAGAGATCAGTTTGAGTTAAAAGCACCTCTGAAGGGGAGAGTTAGTTGTATTAGTCACATTTTAAATTGTATACGCTGAAGCAGGCAGATTGCAAGTTCAAGGCCAACCCTAGCAATTTAATAAGGCATTTAGCAACTTAGAGAGACCCTGTCTTAAAATTAAAAAGGGATGGAGATGTATCTCAATGATGAAGAGCCCCTGGGTTCAATTCCCAGTACCACACATATAAAAAAAATTAAAGTGTAAATCACTTTTAATCATCACTGTTAACATCTTACTTGAGTTTTGTGTGCTGATCTTGAAGTGGAGCAGACTGGCTTTCAAATTTTTCTGACTAGGACTTATGGTAATAAATGCATTTTACAAAAAAAAAAAAAATAAAGAAAATATATTTTACAAAGTGACCCGGAACACATGCGTATATATATCTATATTTGTATTTCAAACAAGTTTTAGGAAATGATATTTGCCCTTACTCTTTTCTTCTTATTATTATTTATGATCCACTAAATTGATTTCATGATCCATTAATGAATTACAGAAAGCAGTTTGAAAAATTCTGAATTAGAGGCTGTCATTTGAGTGGTGGAAGTGGAGAGCAGGGCTGGGTATTGAACCTGGGGTCTTCCCACATGCTAAGTACACACCACTGAGCTGTACCCCCCTTCTCCCTTGTAGTTTTTATTATTTAATACTTTTAAGAAAAAAGTAAGTTTTTGCAAACTGCTGTGTTGGAGCATTTTGAATACCCAGAGGATTCTATTAAAAGGGTGTGTGTTGGTACATTTGTTTTATGTTTCATTTCAAGGAATTTGGTAGACTGGTGCTGAAGGTGAATTTTGCTTGAGCCCTGGTGCTGGCAGATGTTGCTGGGAAACCTCCCCTTCAGCAACTTGGGTCTTGTCACTCCTTAACATGACACTCCTTAACATAAATCGTTTCAGATAAATTCAAACAAATATACCTACTGTGGACAAAGCAGTATTCTTAACCCTGCAAGGGCAAGGGCAGTGGGAGCAGAGAAAGTAATAGTACCTATACTCAAAAGGCATTATAGTCTGTTGGGGGTAGGGAATGTGTATGAGATAAATACACTAATAACCCTAATGAAAGGCAAAAACTGAAGTGCTATAAGAGGGGAAGAAGGCATCCTGAGGTTTAAAGATGGGACATTTTGTAAATAATGAACTTTAGAAGTTGAGTAAAGTTTTTGGAGACAAATGGTAAGACCTAAGGGAGAACATGAGCAGAGTTGCTGGGGTAGACTGTGTGGGATAATTCAGGGAACAGTAAGTAGTTCAGTTCAACTGAAAAGGAATTAAGAAGTATTAGAAAATAAGGCTGAACTGAGTGTACACATCTGTAATCCCAGTAGCTCTGGAGGCTGAGGCAGGAGGATCACAAGTTCAAAGCCAGGCTCAGCAACTTAGTGAGGCCCTAAGCAACTTAGGGAGACCTCTTCTCAAAATAAAAAATAAAAATGGCTAGGGATGTGGCTCAATGGTTACAGAGCTCCTGAGTTCAATTTCTGGTATAAAAAAAAAAGAAAAGAAGGCCATAACTGTAGGTTATGAAGCTGTGAAAACCAAAAGTATTGAGTTCTTAATTAAGTAAGTGATAGGAACTATTGGAGTTTTTTGTTTGTTTGTTTGTTTTTTCATGGTGCTGGAGCTCAAACCCAAGGCTTCACACATACTAGGCAACACATACTGAGCTACACCTTCACCCACATTGGAGAGTTCTGAATGGGAAGTAGTATGATTGAAAGTGTATTTGAGAAGATAATACAGCATAGGGTGGTTTGATTTTTTTTGTTTGTTTTATGGTACTGGGAATTGAACCAGGGGTATTTTATCACTGAGCTATGTTCCACCCTTCCCCCCCCCCCAATATTGAGACAGGGTCTCTGTAAGTTGCTGAGGGCCTCACTCTTGCAATTTTCCTGCTCAGCCTCCCAACTTGCTGTAATTATAGAAATTTACCACTGCATCCAGCAACAGTATAGGGTGATCTAAAGTGGTCATAGACAAGAGCTAGGGAAACTAATGAGAAAAAACAATGATTTAGACAGGATGTTCTAATGACTTGGAGGAGGGGATTGGGAGGGGGGTTGCACTGAGAGAAGAAGGAATCTCAATTGTTTCAAAGGTAGATTCTGTACACACTTTTATCTACACAGCTGTTCATGCCAGAAACCAAAGAATCAACTTTGTCATACTCCTGTCACTCACTCCTCACATTCCAGTCACCAAATCTTATCAAAATGACCTCCAAATTGTGTCTCAAATTCATCTACTTTTCTCCATTACCACAGCCACCAGCCATCTCTCATTAGAAACACCCAAGCAGCCTCCTGACTGGTCTCTAATTCTCTTCTTGCCCCCTCCAGTCCACTCTCCAAAAGCAGCCAGAGTGAGCCGATGCTGTGCCTCTTCTGCTCAGAACCCTTCAGGGGCTTCC